GATTTAACATATGATTTCAAATTTCCCGCACAATTTAAATCAACCATATCAATAAGAATTACAGAGAGGAAACTCTTGTGGCAAAAAAAGTTAGGACAAATGAAAATTCGACATTCTAAAAGTTTAATGCTTTAGAAATTCGACGTTTTGAAAATTCTATGTTTTATAAATTTGGTACTTTGGAAATTCACTCATACGAAAATTCGGTTAACTACAGATATGGTTAAATAAAAATTTGATTAAATAAAAATTATTTTAAATATAATTTCAACTAAATATAAATAGTTGTACATCAAAATTATGTTAAATATAAATTCTGTGAGATTATAACTCGATTACATATATTTTACGTTACATAAAAATTCGATTATATAGATATACTACGATATAAAAATTCTGATAATTGACAAATCTTTTAGGTTATAATCCTTTTATATAAACTTTTATGTACTTAAAATTTCATTTAAGCAAAATTTTTATTTTTTAAAATACATACTAATAAAAAAATCTAAACAACTAAATGTTCTATTCTTTCATATTTCCCTACATGGATATTTTTATAAATTAAAATACAGTCAAATGAAAAAAGTAGTTAATAAATATTTCTTCAAATACTAATTTCTTGTGATAAAAATTTGTTTAAAAGAAAACTCGAATTATTGCAGTTCTAATAAGTAGATATTTCAAGTTTTTTATTTCGATACCACAAAAATTGTTGCAAGTTCAATGTGGGGAATATTCATGCGTCCCGTTAGATTTTCTACGTTATAAACAAAGACAAATTTATGTTATTTATCTAGAAAGAGGAAGATATTTTCTCTAAATGTTATTGAATAAGAGATAGAAAGAAAAACGAATTTTTCCTTCTATTAGTAAAATAACTTTCTATTAGTAAAATAATTTCTATGTAAAATCCTACGTAAGATCCCATGTAATTTCCTATGTCATTTCCCAGGTGAGATCGTATATTATTTCCCATGTAATTTTCCACATGGGATCTTACATAGGATCTCACGTGGTTTTTTTTATTAATGATACAGAATACCACAGTTCATATACTTTCACCACCAGGTGGCGAGAGCGACTTCTCCCCCTGTTAACATGATTTTTTAACACTACTCTCTAAATCTGAATAAGTGAAATTTCACTTATTTTAAGTGAATATTCACTTATTCCATGTTTCAAAACTCTTCCACGTAGAATAAGTGAATATTCACACATGAAATAAGTGAATTATATTCACTTATGAATAAGTGAATTACATTCACTTATGAATAAGTGAATATTCAATTATGAGATAAGTGAATACTCAGACATTAAGAAGTGAATGTAAATAAATAATCAGGATCAATATTATATAAAAAAAATATTTATTTACTATCAACTATTTAACACTCTCTTCTCTTCTCATTATCAGTCTGAAACTTATAAACATATCAATTTTTCAACTTTTTTAAGCTAAATTCCCAAACGGCCACCCATCCTAATATTAACTGCAAGCAATGTCGCTTAACTTTTATGATCAACGAGAAACACTACAATGCCACTTAATAAGTTGCCTTATACTCATAGAAAATTATTGGGTGATACTTATAAAGAGTTAGTTTATTGTGTTCTACTTTAACGTTTTGTTTAAGATTTCTCTTATTATATATGTATATAAATACTTAGTAAATAAAAAGTTAGTTATTAGATTACTGTTAATATAATATTTAACTGAATATTTTTTAAAAAATTTATTAAATTTTAAATGACAATTTTTATAATTAAATAAAATAAAAAATTTCTAATATATTAACTAAAATGATAAAAACATTGTTTTTAAACATTTAAAAGTTGGTATAAATAATAAATTGTAATATAATGCGCAGATGAATTTCTTTTTAACTAAATATTTCACTTATACATAAGTGGGGATTTCACTTATTGATAAGTGAAGACATGTTCACACATAAAAAAGTGAATATTTCACTTATGTATAAGTAGATTCTACTTATTAATAAGTGAGAAAAAGGTTCACACATGAAAAAAGTGAAAATTTCACTTATTCAGATTTAGAGAGTATATAACTGAGAGTTTATAGCTCAGAAGAAGTGTTTCAAATTATCGAATTTTTTTTCTTACTGATGATTTGAAATGCTAATACAATTTATTATTTAATTTTTAATTAAATAATTTTTAATCCTTTGAAAATTCTCACAATGTATCCCTAATGTAATCACATCAAATCTTTTGTGAAATCCTATGTGAAATCTTATATGGGTGATTCTCCCGAAATACTCCTTTTTGTGAGTTACAAACAGAAAAGAAAAAAAATTATTATTTATGGATTAATGCAGTCAATTATATTGAGCTTTCAAAAATCTACCACCTCTATAGCATGATCATGCTAACTTTTAGCTTTTAAAGTATATATTTTAAATTAAAATTTACAAAAAAATTAAGAGGTTAAAATTTGGCGCCGGCGTTTTTTATTATATATATTTTTCTATTTACAAAAAATTATTTAAAAATTATAATTTATTAATATTATCTATAAATTTTATAGATTTTGAAATACTTACAGTTATCAAAAATCTCTTTAAACAATTGTCAAAAATTATTTTTCATACATTTTAGGTTCACTTTTCACTGGCAGTTTGTAAACAACCGACAATCATATCAATTTTTAATTTTTATTCAAAAAAGTGAGAGGAATGACGGGTGAGAGGAATGACGATTTCAACATTTTTTAATTTTATTTAATTGACAAATAATTTTCCTCCAGCTTAGAATGCCCTATCATGTTTATAAAGGATAACTTTATGTGAAAAAAATTTGCGATCAATTTATATATATTAATATTGTTTTTATTAGCGGTGAGAGGAATGACGCTTTATAGGTTGTGAATCTCTGCTTATGTCTCAATTTTAATTTTTTTAACGCAAAATAATGACATTTTTTAAAAAGTAACTTAAGAAATTAATATTAGAGATGTTAATTTAAATATTGATCACAATAATTAAGCAATATCTCTACCCACAGCAAAAATATTGGATAATATTCAACGAGTGAGAGGAATGACGCGGTACTACATGACAAATTTCATTTTCTATATTTAAAAAAACTACACGACATATTTTATTTATATTTTTGAAAATTATTCTTAAATATCATAACTTTTAGAAAAAATTAATAAAGTACCAATTTTCATGTTTTAAATAATTGTTTTATCTATTGAAAAAATGAAAAGCACTTAGATGACAGGTTAGAAAATCGATTTTGAGGTGGTAAAATATTTTAAAAATGTATTAAACAATAAAATTTTACAACTTTTTCTTGCAGAACATTTAGAAAAAGTGATAAAATAGGGAAATATGACTTGGTATTTTCCCAAATGATTATAATTATTTAGAAAATCTTGATTACACGCAAAATGAGGTTTTTTGGAGAATCACCCATATATGAAACATGAAATCCCATATGAAATCCTTTATGGAATCCTTTATGTATTCATGTGGATTTTTATGTAGATACACAAACTCAAATTCCCACATGAATTCTTGTTTCAAATCGTGTCCCAAATATACATGTGCTTTTACATGGGATCCCATGTGGATTCTTACGTGGGATCTGGGATTTTATACAGGTTTTTGTATAAGAACCCACGTAAGATCCCATGTAGGAACCCATGTGGGTATTTTCAATAGGGAAGCATCAATTAAAACAAAAATCAACTGTTACAAAACTATTAGTGATGAAGTTTGGCAACAGGTTTTTATTGTTGCCATTTTTTGTAGAAAATCCTCTAGAATTTATTTTATTTTCAATTTGCATTCTATTCACTATATTTAATTAAATTAATATTAATTATTATTGTTATTTGTATTGAAAAAGACATCTTTCCTCTATTTGTCATTACTATTGAAATTATAATTATTATTCATAATTTATATTGAAATTATTATTTATAATTATAATTATGAGTAAAATTTTAATTATTTTTGATGGTAATTGTTAATATATTATTAATTATTAAGTAAAAACTTTTCCAGAATTTACTTCTTTTCAATTTACATTCTGTTTATTTAAATAGAAATGAAACAAAAAAATCTCCCGCTTAAAAAAGTGTCATTCATTATTTAATCAAATTTTATAATAATAATTAATGTTAACAAGTGAATATTGAATATTAGAAAATATAAAAGTAATCTCAAAAAGAAATTTAATGGAAATAAACTAATCATTAAATATAAAAGAAATTGTCAAATGGAAGTTTGCACGTGCGCATTTGAACTATTTTCTATAATGATTCGAATTGTTTTAAGGAAAGATAAAATATCGAAAGTATTTCGCCACATATGGTGTTGATAACTTGATTTTTATGTGTCTTTTAATGATATGCACCCGGTGTGTTTTTGAAGTCGCCTTTTGAAAAAGTTTACAATATCTTTACAGTAATATAATATTATCTTCTATAGTTACGATTATATCGTACTTCCTGAAAATCCCCAATGGTTTTTAATTTTAATATTGTTTCAAGTAGTTTCTAATTTCAAGTACAAAATTCAAAAGATTTTTTTTGTAGTTCAATTATTAGTCAAAAATCAATATAGGTGAGTCGGTGGTAGTGTATTTCAGACACGAAGGCTAACCATTTTTTCGGTAGAGAGAAAGAGAGAGACACGACCTTAATTAAATAAACCATGGTTTTTATTTCTAGATAAATATAGTTAGAAAAACATCTAGTTTCCATGTTATTATGGTTCAATTCTAGATTAATTAAAATAGTACAATTTTTTTCTTCTTTTCGTTTTGTGACAAAAAGAAAAATAGGGGAAATTAAAATGAGAACCCGGCGCCGTGACGCCTGCCACCGGCAAATCGCTATATAGCGAAAAAGCATCAGCAGCGACAAGAACGTCGAGGCATGCAACGAATAAGACTCCCCATCGTCGATCGATGAGGAGCGCCTGGACGTTGGCGTTGACGGCGTCGGGCGGGGCGAGAGGGCGCTTTTGTCGTCAGTTCGCCAGTGCGCGTTCGACTTGTCGCTCCTGTCAAAAGTCGTCGAGTCTTCGTATAGCGCGGTCTTTTATTTCCCTAAAAAAAAGGAGGAAAAAAAACATTTTCGTTCGTTCGATACTTGGAAAAGTAGGGAAAAAGAGAAAAGTAACAAAAAAAGAAACAGGCAAAAAGTCTGCGCTTAAATAAATTTCGCCCTTTCCCGGGCAAAAAAAAAAAATTCGCGCGCCACACTCGTATGGCGCTCGTAAAATTCGCGAGTGTTCCTGGTGAAAGGTGCTGTCAGAAAATCGTCATCTTGAGAACGTGATCGCGCCTCCCCCCTTCGGGAAAAAAAGGGGTGAAGTTTTACTACTACCTCCCCATTCCCACCCTTATTCTTACGAAGCCGGTTTTATTTTTCGTTTTTTTGAAAAAAATTCGGTTTTAAATGGTGAACGAGTGGACAGGAATTTAAAATCATCATCATCATCATCCCTTAAAAGAGAGTGAGTGATATTAGGCTGTTAATTTGGTTGTTCTTGGAAATCGTTGTATGAATTCGCTTGAAGAGACTACTACTGCCGATCATCCTGGCACCTAGCAGACGCCGTTTGTAACACCGGGGTGTGTTTTCCAAGTGTAAGATATTCCTTTTTTCCACTAGGGGTGTATTTTTTGTTTTTTTCGAACTAGGAGGGTGTGGGAGGGGGAAGATTAGTGATTTTGTATTATCAGAGCATTGAATTTTGTCTCTCTGTCTTTTTTCTCTCCACGTTCGGTGAGCGCGCGCCCCTCCCACAGCATCATCTCTTTCTCTCCTTCCTTCTCTGTCTCTCTTTTCCTCTCTCCTCACTGAGTTCGCCCCTGGAACAAACGCAGATTGCAGAAGCCTCTCTCTCTCTCGTTCTCTCTATATTTTGCTTGTTTTTTTCTCTCTTGTCTGCTTTTCTCTCAACCATACTCTAAGGGAGAAATAAATAAATTTATGGTCGAGAGAAAGAGAGTGAGAGGAATGGTCGAGAGAATCGAGAGAGAGGCGAAAGACCCTCGTCTTCGGATGGCCCCCCGGCGCAAAGCACACACGTGCAAAGAGGGATTTCTCTCTGGTGATATAGGCGACGACAAGAGAGAGAGAAAGAGATCCCCAAAGTGCAAGAGTTTTTCCTGTTGCCTTGGTTATGTTTATATTTTCTAGCCCCTAGCTCTACACTATATACAAAAGGGGAGGCTCTGAACGGTGTGTGCTGGCCTATGCTGTGCGCAACGTATTTCGGAATTAGAATCGATTCTCCGTGAGGAGAGCGCGCTCGAGAGAGGGAGAGAGAGAGATTTCTACCAGAGCATCGCTTCTTTTTTTTTTTTTATTTCGGCCATGGAGTTTCACTAATCATACAATATATATGTACATTTATTGACACTTTTTTTTGTCGGTGGCATAAGAAAGTCAGGGCGGGGTGCGCTAATTTTAGAGACAGAAACCCTTTAATTGATTTTTGCGTAATTTTTTCTTTTTTGTCTCATTATATTTCTAGACTTTTGCATATGGTGTGAAATTGTTCGATTATAAAGACCCCTCCGAGGTCACTCTCTTTCTCTCTCAATATAAACGATATTTTATATGTATATATAAACTCGTCGAAACGGAAATTGAAAAATTGAACCAATCAATAGATTGGGTGGTTTCCGATGGTGGCTTTTCGAGTCTATACTTTTATATTTTGTCTACGATAGGGTAATTTTAATATTAGATCATTTTTGTATTGTTAGCACTTTAGAAGGGGAAGATTATTTTTTCTGTTAGTTGACTTTATTTATTTAAAGTATGTGGATAATTTTATGCATAGAGGATAAAATATTGTAGGTACTTTGATATTTATTGTAATTGGTCTAATGATGTCGAAAAGAGTGTAGGGAAAATTAGCTGAAGTACCCTGTTAGTGTGTCAAGAACAGTGCTGCCACTGTGGGTAGGAAAATGCTTGAATGTCGTGTGGTTTCATTTTTTTGTTGAAAAGTACGATAAATTTTTTTTTTAATAGAGAAAAAATGAAGTTTTAGTCTGCTTGGATCTTAAAACGAAAATGATTGAAAAGTAGATTATTTTTATCTATGAAAATTTAAATTAGCCACTTTTGACGTTTTAAGCAACGATTTGCTTATTAAATGCATTAGTAACAGTACTGATTAATTTTCAGTGAAAAATGAAAAAATCCCTAATTTATTAAAGTATTTTTCAGGTTATGTTAAATGCACAAAAAACGGTTTTAAATCATTTACATTCTAATGTTAAAACCAAAATGTTTAAAAAGTAGCCTATTTTAAAATTTAAGACTAAGGGTTAAATCATAACTTTAGGACTTAAAATCATACTTTCAAGGCTAAAATTCAGTTTAAAATGTTCTAATGCTTTAGAAAAAAAGATTTTAATCAAAAGTGGGCTGAAAATAAAAAAATTATTTTTAGTAGTGTTTAGTTCAAATTAAAAATTTACTTTAAAAAAACTGTAAATCAAATAAATATTTAGATCTAACAAGCTTTACTTAAAATAGCCTAAAACTTAGGTTTGTACAATAAAATATAGAGTATTTAATACTTTATTAATACTTATTTATTTATTAATACTTATTAATACTTTATTTAATACTCAGTCCCAATGGGAAATTGCCAATGGTCACTATTGGCTAAAAAATGGACCAATATTGGCTGCCAACAGTTTTTTCTTGGTCAAACATTGGCAACCAATATTGGGCTATTATTGTTAGAGTCTTGGGATAATCACGACTTTACCAAGCATTGGCAGCCAATATTGGATCACTATTGGCTGCCAAGGCAAATACCGGACTATCCAAGCCTTGGTTATTCATTGGCAACAAAGATTGGACCAATATTAATGACCAATTATTTACCAATGCTTTAAAATTAAATTAATGCTTGGTTATTTCTTGGTTGCCAATACTGAACCAACGTTTGAAATCAATATTTTACAAATACCAACAACACATAGCAAAAATTTTTCAAAAAAAAAAAAATTTGAATTACTAATCTAGACAAGGAAAAATAATTAATTTAATTAGAACACTCTGTTAAAAACAGAATGTGATAAAAATCAGACAAAGATAATATTTGTCTAAATTTGAGAATGCAAGCGTCTCTTCTTATATAGAACTGGTAACACAACTTGTTAACGAGAGCAAGAAACTTTGGCGCACCCTGGTGGCACTATCCTAAGTAATTTCAAGCACATACTTTGAAACAGCGCGGGACATTTCAAAATCGAACACCAGGGTGCGTAAGAGCTTCTTTCACTCACTAACAAGTTGTGTTGCCAGTTCTATATAACAAGAGACGCTTGAATTCTCAAACTTAGACAAATATTATCTTTGTCTGATTTTTATCACATTCTGTTTTTAACAGAGTGTTCTAATTAAATTAATTATTTTTCCTTCTCTAGATTAGTAATACAAATTTTTTTTTTGAAAAATTTTTGCTATGTGTTGTTGGTATTTGTAAAATATTGATTTCAAACGTTGGTTCAGTATTGGTAAGTATAAGGTGTTAGTCTTTATCACTATTTATGTACTTGTGTATGTTTACGTGTGTTTATGCCTGTAAAGGTTTTGAAAATCAACGACGAATGATGACGAGTCAGTCCGACGTGAGCCCTTGCCAAATATGTATCATAATAATAGTCGACTTTTAATTAAATGATTTTTATATATTTTATTCCGTTTTGTGTTACTTCAACCTGAATACCCTTAAAAATATCCCTTACATAACCAAGAAATAACCAAGCATTAATTTAATTTTAAAGCATTGGTAAATAATTGGTCATTAATATTGGTCCAATCTTTGTTGCCAATGAATAGCCAAGGCTTGGAAAGTCCGGCATTTGCCTTGGCAGCCAATAGTGATCCAATATTGGCTGCCAATGCTTGGCAAAGTCGTGATCATCCCAAGACTTTGGCAATAGTGGCCCAATATTGGTTGCTATTATTGGTACTGCTGGCTTCCAATATAGGCCCATTATTGCGCCAATGGTTAATTTCCCATTGGGGTGTGATTTACACGGTACAACACTTGAATTTGCATCAAAATTGTCAAACATTACTTCAATATTCTTTGTACAGAAATAATGTCCTAACATTATGACAATATTGGCATAATTGTAGTGGCATAGACACAGGAACTTGAACAAAGAGCATAAAATTATTGGAGTTTCTCTCTAAATCTGAATTGGTCAAAAGTAACTAATTGTTAATAAAATGTAGGCTTACTTTTTACTTCATCAATTAGTGAGTTATAACTAATTATTAACAAACAAATTAAAAATGTATCATAGGTACATTCAATTATTATTTAGAGAGACTTAACGATGCAAAAGAATAATTGCAACAATTTTTTAGAAGTCGGTGGGAAAATTTTAGTTTTAAAACAATATCCTAGGTGGGGTTTAATTTAAATTTTTTGTTTTAAAGAAACGATCGTTTTTGGAAACAAAAGACAGTGTTCTTTATTTGAATTTTTTAAGAAATTGTTTTCTTTCTTTTTTTGCGAACTAAAACCATTATTCTGGAACAGGGTCTTCATCAAGGGCAGAAACTATTTTCAAAATTACTGTTACTGAAAAAAAGAGGCTTGGTTCGATCGTAAGCACTTATTAAGAAAGTATATAGTCACAATAAGCCATTGTAGAGCGGACCATTATAATCTATCTCTGCCTCTTTACTTCGTATGTAGGTATTGTTAACAATGCTTTCGTGTAAATGCGGTTGTATTAGTGGAAATTAAAATCACGTTATTATATGACAATGTCTTATATGAATATACATGTATATGTACATATATGAGGCATTCCAGTCCAAATCGGAAATTATTTTGCTTTTGCATCTCAAATTTTTTTTAAACATTTTTTTCTTTTAGTACTCTTTGAAATAAGCTACCTTGATTTTTTTCAAATTTTTTCATAAAGCGGTTCAGGAGATACAGATTTTTGAAAAATGACGTTTTTTACGTAAATTTTTGTTTTAAATGCTTATAACTCGGTCAAAAATTGATCAAATTGGACGTTATTATAATGAAAACCCGTGTAGGAATTTCCCCTGTTTAGTCCCTGTTTAGACTAGAAAAACTCACTAGAAAACTATCAGATTCTAGTTAGGATAACCTAGACTAGAGAAAACTGATCAGGACCTTATTGATTTCCAACTAGACAAACTAGTGTACAAGTATTATACATAAATTGTCTTTTTAGATAAATAATTCAGATTAATTAACAGAAAAATTTACCAGCATTATTTATTACAAAATTTTGCATATTATTTGATTATTTAATTTTTTAACATACTTTAAAGAAAATTTCAATATTGTAGAATATTCTTGCAAAAAATTCAAATAAAACAATTTTATCTAATAAAAATCTTTTTGGCAATTAATAAAAACATTAATTAATAATTAAAATTATGTTATATTCTTACAATTACAATAATAAATTCAATAATATAATTATAATAATTATAGTAAATATAAAAATATAAAAAGTACACGGAAAAAAATTTCTTATAGAAAACACAAACTTTTTCGTAAAATATACAAATAGGTTAAGTTGTGCTTTATGCAGGCGAGTTTTGTGTTTCCAACAAG